TTTAGATTTCAGTCATAGATACCATAAATGGAATTCATGATAGGGGTATAACATAAGTATTGAGCTACGTAGGGACCAGCAAACTGTGTTAAAGCTGACAGTTTTTTAAAAGATATTGTAAGTTATATATCATATGAAAAAGTGCTGACTGCTGTTATTTCATACGCTGTTTTGAGAAAATAGTGACGGGTCCATGGAAATTGTTTTATTAAAGTAAAGAATTTAAAATATGATGGATTAATGTACAATATGAAAGAAAAAATATCTGTCATTATATTGGGGGATCCCCTTGGGACGAATTTTCCTATCTGAAACGCAACATATGACATATATTATTAAGAACAAAACGGTTGTTAATCATGCGAGAGTTATAATGCTTACATCCGTTTAAATATGGCACTACGTAACCTGTCTAGAATCTTTATAACGAATTTATACTACAGAAAACTTCTTTTTCAGAGAAAAAAGATATTTTTCAAAAATTGACAGCGGCTGTAAATATTAATCTAAATAAGAGTCACGATTATACAATGAAAAGCGACTTTACAAACGTGCAGTGTGATAAACAACAATCTACGGAAATTCGTAAGTAGCGTTACACTGACGTCATCCTATGTATGCATCTCATTCATAAAGGTGCCAGATCAGATTGACGTCATTTTAAACTGGTATGTGTGGTGGTCAAGATTGACTACATCTGACAAAAATTTAAACAAAATACAATCCAGACTGGCGCATAATTTAAAGATCCTGTATGTTGAAATTAAAGTTGTTACCCAACTTAAGTGAAATTTTATATATGTTCCTAATTATGCTTTTATAACATTTTTCAAACATCGAGGAATATGTAAAATATGTACTTCAAATATTTGTCCACATTATATGTAATCATTCAAATATAAGCATTCATTTCTTATTGAAAAAAAACTGACTAAGACTTTATAAAAAATGAATTTCTTATTACCTCCCTTTCTAAACATGAAATGTAAATTCGGTAATATCTTTATAAATAATGCTATTTGGAAATTAAAGCATTGATAAATCTTCATTTGAGCATTGTATTTGTGATATAAAAGCTAAAAAAATGAGTTACAGGATCTTTAAATCGTTGGAAATTTGTTTATTCTTGAATAGTTCGGTACAATTTTGTCTTATTATTTATTTTGTTTATTATGTTTTATTTTTAGCGACTAAAGGATGCAATATAGTACAGACTTATATGGGAGTCGGCAGCGGAAATAATCTTTGCTTGAAAAATAATGGAAGTGATCTTCATTATTTCGTCTTAATAGAATCAAAATATAACGGCCTTCGAGGTCAATTAAAACTCCAAGGAGGTGTTAAATAGCCAAAAGGAAACACCATTGAGACCAACATAATTTCTTGAATAAATGCTCAAAAAACTCATTTGAAACCATTGGAAGCGAACGTGATGGCTTGATTGCAGTGAATCAATGTTAAAATGGTAATCCACCTATAAGTAAAAATTGGACGTTATTTTTTTTCAATTTAAAAACTTAAAAAAAGATATTTGAGCAAGATTGTTTTGTATGAAGATAGATTGTTGTGCATTGTTCACAACAATTCACACGAGCCATGTCAACACTTGTATTATCGTATGTTAAAGTATTGTTTTCATATCACAGAATCATTATAATAAAATTATTATGTTAGTAAAACAAAAAATTATTGTATGGTTGCCCTTCAAGAATATATCAAATGTTTCATTTCACAAACATAAATACAAGAATGATAATGATAGCACACATGTTTGCCTATTGAAAAAAATGTTTCATTAATGTAATCTTTATTAATTGACGGATCAATTAAGAAAAGACTTAACTGCATTGGATTCTTGTAAATATGTTAGCCATATAGGAACACAAATGAAATTGAACCCATAACAAAGACTGTTAAATAAAGTAATATATTGTTGTATGAATATGTATTGCATAAATTATAAACAATATTCTGAAAGTATATATCAAATGTGACAGGAATCACAAACATGCTCTTTTAAAACAATAATTAGTATTATGCTCCTGAAAAAATGACACAATTTGCATAATTTAAATCACAGACGAGTATCAAAGCAAGTATAAAAAAACGTATATTGACACATTAACAATAACAGTGATCATAAACTACATCTTAAGGCATAACGAATACAAACATACAAACACATGCATTAAATTTAATTATAATGTACTTTTTTTGTTGGGTAGCTCATGTAAAAACTTAATTGCAGTAATATCAATGGTATATAATTATATTTAGTAAAATGGACAAACAGAAAAACAGAGATATTTAATCCAGGTTATTTGTTTTAACTTTAATTGCTATGAATTCTTCGAAATTATACTTGTCTACTGGAACCATAACATGTTAAAAACCACAAACAATGTATGTATTTCCTATTACAGTTACATTAAATGTGAGTAAATCAGATTAATCAGTTTGGGCCCGCCCTTTCAAATATTTATCAAATTCCTTCTCACAATTCCGTACGGCACAAGTTATGAATACACATACCAATATTATACAAACAGTAATCTTCATTTATTTAGTAAAAATAAAATGCAACCCTTTCAAACAAATAATTTATATTTAATAAGTATTTTTTTAAAAATATAAAAATACTATGTATCTTATACTAAAGTAAAACAAATAATACATCTTGTGATTGCCTTTTCATTATGCTTCTTTATATGTAAATACTCCATAATCACTGATTATTTTCATTATATTTAAAGGCATACAGGTAAGGAATTCGAAACATTAAAGAAACAGATATTATAATGAGATTACACATTTCTGCATTTTGATATGAAACTAAATTATAAATGTACTTGGAACGTACAAGAATTGAAGGCAAAAACCTTAAATGTTATCCATATATAAGTTAAAACAGAATGTAATCAAATATCAAGTAGCACTGGGTATTATAATTTATAATAAAAGTATGCTCTTGAAACATTGTCTAATGATAAAAAATTACAGACCATGTAATTTTATTTACAGTTGTTTGATATGTTACATGTATGACATAAATAATGGTTTTTATATTGCCCATTTCACACATCAAGTTCCAATGATATAATTTTATAAAGCATAAATCATTTATAAAAATGTATCTACTATCAAAAGGCATTCAGAATAAAAGATAAGAAACTTATAAAACAAATATACAATAACATACTTGTACATCTCATATAATAACAACAATAACACATGTGCCAGTAAATTATGTACCTTGTCAGTAGGGATAAATATTATAGAGTAAAATGCTTGGTTTAAGTGTTTCCCATTTCTATAAATGAGGATCTACTATCAGTTAATGAAACAACAAACATTTATGGGCCAGAAATTGGTTACCAAAAGGATTGTTAATTGTTTTAAGAGAATATAACAAAGTAAAAGTACCAATGTCTGCATGTTCATGACACATATATAGTAGCATATGTTTCCAACAATTAAACACTCAAAAGTTTAAAAAATGATCTTACAATTAGGGAAGAGAAACTTGTTTGAAAATGTTTTATCTAAATTATTCTTATGATACTTAATGACTTCCAGGGTGGTGTTTTTTTACCCTAGGTGCATGATTCATCAAACTTTTGTAGAGCTCTACTTGGCAATACTATGTGCCGAACATAGAAGCTCTGAGCATTTGAATTTTAAATAGATAATACATGTATGTATTTTCATTACAATATTCAATCACGCACATGACTACCACAGCAGGACCAATTTGACATTAGGGTAATGATAGATATAACTTTTGTAGTAAACAACGAAATTGTTGTAGCATGCCAAAATATCTATACTCTGTGCTTTGTAGTTTCAAACAATAATACTAAGTACTTGAACAAGTTTTCCTAATTAAATAATTAAAGTTATTAAACCTACTTAAATTATGCGAGTTCAAGGCGGTTCAATATTAACCCCAGGGGCATTATAAATATCAGATTTGAAGAAGTTTATGCTACATGAATACTGTGTCTTTAATTTTTTACCTTATACATTAATTGAATACCACATGTGCTTTAAAACTGTACAAAACTTCAGAAAATTTAAATGGCTTTATAAAACATCAGTAAGTCTTATTAAAAGAAGAACTAAGAAGTAAGAAATACAATTAATTAACAATAAAGTGCCCCTTTACACGTATCTATTGAAATTAAGTTTACATATTAGATAATGCATAAAAGTGTAAATGCTTATATGTCAATGATAAAAATTTATAAGCATACTATATAAGAAATCTTAAATAATAAAAACAAGCAAGACATAAAACTGATAGCAAACGTATTACTCATACTATGTACATTATATGTGTACTTTGCACAAATCTTAAGCCCATGGAGTGCAAAATTTGTTATCACAGTGTTATTTATTCTAACAGTTGGTCAAAATCTAAATAGAAAAGGAATGTGTACTAATGATATGTGGTTGAAATTTTTGTTAGAAAAACCCTCATTATTTTCACTAATTATCAAAAATACATACTCCTTAAAAAAATTCACAAATAGCATCACATGTTTATAATTACATTTAAAATGTTATTCAAATCACAGTTATAATAGGTCTGTTAACACTCGTGCCCTTTACAAATATTAATAAAATGTTCTTTATAATATCTTTATAAGATACAGATGTACCTACCATTATACCTAAATGTTCTACAGCTTTAATCAAACTGATACAACAATTATCAATACATAAATTCAGAGTATTCCTTTACATGTAATAAGTAATGTTCTTTTGAATTTGATCCATGTTGTTAATGATTTTAATATTAACAATAAAAGGAGGTATTTTTCCAAGTTATAATCGATTAGACTTTAGTAAAGCATTGAATGTTACTAACGAATGTAAAAGTATGATCCGTTGCTCCTGGATAGAATATCACAAATGATATTGTCACATGTTAACCATCACAAACAAGATAGTATCAATAAAACAGAACAATCATTTTAATTTTGTTCTTTACAAGAATTAATAAAAAGCTCGATGACATAAATGCAATAAATATTACAATCATGATATAAAACATTTCTTGGCAAAAGACATAAAAAAGAAAACCCACCAACAATAAACATATTCTTTACATTTAATAGAGGAATTATGACGACAATTGTTAGGAGCTTCAAGACCTTTTTCGGCTGTAAATATTTGTCTACATACATATACGAAGGGAGTTAATAAGACGGTACAACCCGGTATTTGTCTATACAAACCAAGGCTTGCTTTTAAAGATAAATGGAGGGGAAGCTAGCCATTGGTGCCCTTGCACTAGCGTCTATGCATGAGTAATTGTGTGAGCGAGCAATAAATTACCTGTCATACAGTTAAGACCTGGTCCCAGGTAACTACTTTTAGGTCTCACGAAATTTCGGGACGATGATGAGCTAAAGTCTCCTGTTGAAGCCTGATTTAGGACCAAACAGACGCTAGTTTTTACGGTTAAAGGATATTATACATGTATTAAGAAAAACATATTTTGTGAGTTGGCCACGAGTTCTACGAACTTATTAAACTCCCCTCATATAAGTTTAAAAAACAACTTAAATTATAGTATCATCTGTCTCTTACATTGTATAATATACATTAGATATGAAACAAAACATTTGTTTTCAAATATTTTTGCTACAAATAATCTTGACCTTTTACAAAACTATAAAATCAAACAATGTAACAGCTATTACTGTTTCAATTTCTGATTAAAACGAGTATAAATGACGTGGATGGATGTTGATTGGTAAGGTAGTAAAATATATTTAAAACAAAACGAAAGTAACCTTTATAAACGGATCGATTCCAAAAGGTTATTATGGAGTAGTGTAGGATATTACTACCAGTGGTATCTCTAGTAACTCAAGACGACATATTTCATTAAAAACGAAATTGAAAATATTACATATTACTTGAATTATTTCGAAAAGGTATCAAAAGCATAACAGAAGACAAACACAACGTCTAAGAATATTATTGATTAGTTCCAAATGTGTAGGGGAAAACTGTTTTCTAATTTGAAGTTAAAAGTACTCTATTTATGTCAATTAGTCTAGGAGTTACGGATTAAGAACCTACATTTGTAGATTCTTTTTATTATACTTACTGATCTAATATGCTAGTTAAAGCCTCGCAATTGTTTGAAATCGAAAGAAGTGAACGTTTCAGTTCTTCTATGATCAAGTGTGCCTTACTTGGTTCGGCAAGAACATATGGTAATGGCATTTCAATTTCCTCTAAAATATTCCAGATCGGTGTCACAAAAGTTACGTTTCCCTTTTTGTTACGGCCAGTTAGAATACCAAGAGCCATTAGGTCTTTGTTTTCATCTGTTACAAACACCATAGCACCTGAATCACCGGCTTCAGAGAACTTTCCACAATCATCGCGTATCCTTATTTGGTCGGCAAGTTCATACACAGATTTTCCTGGCTTAAATTTGGCAGCTTTGTCTTTACTGAAGCTATAGCCAACCGTTTCCAATTTGATTCCTGAACCGAAACTGTAAAACTTTCCAGACGTGAGCTTTGTTTTCATTCCGTATTTGACAACCTTGGTATTACCTTTCATCATTAAATTTTTCATTTGTTTTAGGTCTTGAATGACAGATCTTGGATTATGTCTCAAATTGTTTGACAACAAATCATCTAAAAAAAGTAAACATGTGTTAATTATTTTAAATATATCAGGTCAATTAGCATGAATAAAACGCAACGACATCTGTAGTGTAGTAGTTAGTAGACTGGGACAGGCAATCCAGATACCTGTGGTTCGAGTCCCTGCTGCCGTGTGCCGGTTTTTGTGTGATTTTTCTGTCTATATATAAACATATAAAATTATCCCATTTGTTTTATAACTTGTGCTACTATTTGATACAAAGCAAAAGTAATCTGTTTGATCCGGTGTTATTTTCGGCATTGATTAATCAGCAGTTATTTTATAAAAATCACAGATCTTATAAATGTAGACATTGTCTCTTTAATATGAGGAATTAAAAGTGCACAACATTAGTATGACGTATTTTGCTATTACTTATCAATGAATAGTCGATTCCATCCACATCAGCTGCGAGAATATCTGGGAAAGCAGTTGTCTTTGGTTTACGTTCCTCGTCAACTTTGAATAACGCAATGTCCATACCGCAGTTATTTTTGTTTTTGCCAAACAACCTGATATCACATATTTTTCCACAAAGGTCGGGTTGTTTAGGCTGGTAACAATGGATTGTACCCAGTGACTCTATGCTCTGTCTTCCGTAGTAAATGTCGTCAAAATCTTTAACATTTAACAAAACATGTGAACATGTAATTGCACACAAGCCCTTTTTAGGAAGATCAACGAAGCAACCAAGCGTGCCCCCATACAGTTTTGTGGAAGATTCTACCCGACAACCGATCTTTAAATCGTCATGCTTATCATATGGTCCAGCAGAAGCAATTGCACATTCATCTTCTCTTACATCAGTTACAAATTCCATATCCTCATCGCATTTTATCAGTTCAGGTAAAACGTCTTCTCCAATGGGGATGTAACCCTTAGCTTCAACATAAAATACTAAACAAACTGTTTTATCTGGAGTTTGCTGTTTACGCAACTTAACTGGACTTACAGATGTGCTTGTGAGATTACTATGAGCTTCCATGAAGTCAGGGGACGTAATGCGCAAACATTCGCAAGCTCTTTGAAACATTACTTCGGATTGGATTCCTGTGCAATTTTCGTATTCCATTTCTTTCATTGCCTCTTCATTGTCTTGTTCTACTACATAAAATGGATAAAGGCTTCTTATTGTTGTCGGTTTTGAAGTTTTGATAACAAAAATTACATCTTTGTTAGGGTCATCATGCTTGAAGCAGCCTTTTATATATTCAATTTCTTCATGTTCCTCCTGCAAGAGTATTTCAATTCTCTGGCATATATCTTTGACTATTTCCCGAGTTTCATTGCTATCAGTAAAAATGTTTACAGCAAGTTTTAATTCCTCTGGTCCTGGTAAAATGTCGTCGTCTAGCAGTTTCCTTGCTGCTTTGACATCTTTTTTCTGAATACAGTCTTTCCATTTGAGTTCTTCATCTATCATTTGAAATGTTATTTTTTTAGAGAAAATATCATGATTCTGCTTAGTTTATGACGTTATCCATTAATTGGCAAAGGCAATAAAGATATCCATTTCATAATTATGTGTTTTAAATAAGTACATTGCATTGAAAAGTGTGAAATGTTACGTTTTTTACAAACGCTCAGCGGGAAAAAATATGTGGATATTTTCTGAATTGGGCCAAAAATAAAATTATGTTTGTTTCTCCATCCCGACCCACTAAAATTAGGGTTGGGTAGGTAGGTAGCCTTAGAATTTTTTTTATATGTGCAAATAATAAATAACTTAAATATATGTAATATGTACCATATTCACAACTGACATATGCATATGCAACAATTTATTATCTATGCTAGCTGTCCAAAATATCAGATAAGGTTGTACATACTGTACTCTGAAAGACAAAATAACTTTCATCCCCTAAGCACCTGAAAAAATGATTTTGGTAAGGGAAAATTTATTGGGTAGGTAGGGAAGGGGAAACACATTAATTTTTATTTTAGGCCTTGTTGTGCGATATATAGCTTATTCATTAAAAACATACTGCTTTCATCAGAGCACGCGAAAAAATAATGGACGAATAGAAGGCGACGTTAGAGTGTTAACAAGATTTTTTCTATTTTTAGCTCCTGTGACCTAATTTTTGACCGGAGATGACCCATTTTCAAAATTGATCTAGAAATCATCAAAACAACCTTCCTTATCGGTTTCCAGGAAATTAAGATCAAAAATGCAGTCACTAGAGTGTTAACAAGCTTTTTTCTATATATAGCTCCTGTGACCTAGTTTTTGACCGGAGATGATCCATATTCGATCTTGACCTAGAAATCATCAAAACAGCCTTCCTGACAAATATCCAGAATATTTGAATTAAAACTGCAGCCACTAGAGTTCCAGTGACCTAGTGTTTGAAGGGAGATGACCAATATTCGAACTTGACCTACAACCTTCCTGACAATTTTTCAGAATATTTGGATCAAAACTGCAGCCACTAACAAGATTTTTCTATTTTTAGCTACTGTGACCTAGTTTTGACCGGAGAGTGTTAACGAGATCTGTGTATTTTAAGCTCCAGGGACCTAGTGTTTGAAGGAAGATGACCAATACTCTCACTTGACCTACAACCTTCCTGACAATTTTTCAGAATATATGGATCAAAACTGCAGCCACTAGACTGTTAACAAGATATTTCTATTTTTAGCTACTGTGACCTAGTTTTTGACCGGAAACCCATGTTCAAACTTGACCTAAAAATCATCAAAATAATCTTCCTGACAAATTTGCAGGAAATATAGATCAAAACTAGACCTATCACTGAAGGTGATTAATACCCCCACCAGCAACTTTGACTTTTGAAAAATTGGCGGTCTGAAGAAAAATTTGAACTCAACCCACAGTAAATAAAGTATCAGCACTGTGTACAAAGAATTATTTCAATTTATTGCAATCCCAACCAGGATCTTGATATAAGCTTGCTATACACCAAGTTTGATTACAATATCTCATTCCTAACCCTAGTAATTGTCCGGAAACCATTTTTCTATTTTTAGTAACCATGACCTCTACCCCAGGGGATCCAAATGCAATACCAAGCGCGGTCTTCATGTTAGCTTGCTAAACACCAAGTTTGATTACAATATCTCATTCCTAACTCTAGTTATTGTCCGGAAACCATTTTTCTATTTTTAGAAATGGTGACATTGACTTTGGCCCCAGGGGGTCCAAATGCAATACCAACCGGGGTCTCCACATAAGCTTGCTATACACCAAGTTTGATTACAATATCTCATTGCTAACTCTAGTAATTGTCCGGAAACCATTTTCCTATTTTTAGTAACTGTGACCATGACATTGATCCAAGAGGGTCCATATGCAATACCAACCGGGGTATTCATGTAAGCTTGCTAAACACCACGTTTGATTACAATATCTCATTCCTAACTTTAGTTAACAGTGACCTTGACCTTGGCCCCAGGGGGCCCACATGCAATACCAACCGGGGTCATGTAAGCTATATGGCAATATACCAAGTTTGATTACAATATCTCATTTATCTCATTCCTAACTTTAGTTATTGTCCGGAAACCATTTTTCTATTCTTTAGTAATGGTGACCTTGACCTTGGCCCCAGGGGGTCCAAATGCAATACCAACCGGGCTTTTCATGTAAGGTTGCTATATACAAAGTTTGATTACAATATCTCATTTCTAACTTTAGTAATTGTCCGGAAACCATTTTTCTATTTTTAGTAACGGTGGCCTTGACCTTTCTCCCCATCGGATCCAGATGCAATACCAAACGGGGTAATTATGTAAGCTTGCTATATACCAAGTTTGATTACAATATCTCATTCCTAACTTAAGTTATTGTCCGGAAACCATTTTTCTATTTTCAGTAACGGTGACCTTGACCTGAGCCCCAGGGAGTCCAGATGCAATACCAACCTGGTTATTCATGTAAGCTTGCTATATACCAAGTTTGATTACAATATCTCATTCCTAACTTTAGTTATAGTCCGGAAACTATTTTTCTATTTTTAGTAACGTTGACCTTGACCTTGGCCCCAGGCGGTCCAAATGCAATACCAACCGGGGTTTCCACATAAGGTTGCTAAATACAAAATTTGATTACAATACCTCACTCCAGGCTATAGTTATCGTCCGGAAACCATGATGTGGACCGACCGACCGACCGACCGACGGACCGACCGACCGACAAGCTGACTCTATACCCCCTAACCTTCGTTTGTCGGGGTATAACTACAGCCACTAGTGTTTGTTTTTTCTATTTTTAGCCCCTGTGACCTAGTTTTTGACCTGAAATGACCCATATTCGAACTTGACCTAGAAATCATCGAAAGAACCTTCCGGGCAAACTTCCAGAATATTTGGATCAAAACTGCAGCCACTAGACTGTTAACAAGATTTTTCTATTTTTAGCTCCTGTGACCTAGTTTTTTATCCGGGATAACCCATATTTGAACTTGACCTAGAAATCATCAAAACAACCTTCCTGAGTGATTTTCAGGGAATTTGAATCATAACTGCAACCACTAGAGTGTTTACAAGCTTTTTCTATTTTTAGTTCCTGTGACCTAGTTTTTGACCCGATATGACCCATCTTCCAACTCGATCTGTATTTTATTGAGAAAAACATTCTGACAAAGTTTGATGATGATCCAATCAAAACTGTGACTGCTAGACTGTTAACAACCAAAATTGTTTACGACGAAGGACGCACAACGACGTACGCCGGACATAGCCCAATCACTATACCTCACCTTGACCACTTCGTGGTCTGGTGAGCAAAAAACCTATTCTAAAATATAATTGAAATATGTACTCAAGTTATTCAAGCCAATGTCAGGACAAACAAGTAAATTACAAAAGGTTATACCTAACAAAACAAAAAGAGCTATGGGTTTTAAAAATGTTTTTTTTTTTTACCAATGCACTTGTCCTAAAAGATCTGTCCATTTATAAACAGTTTAATGTTAACACATGTACCTCAATTACTTTTCTAGTTACATTCAGAATAAGAAATTATGAGCAACTTTATAATTCTAAAGCCAAGCATTATGACACCTTTCGTCTTATTCCGTTGTAGATTCGATTTTGTACAACTTTGGAGGGTCTTCTTTGCAGAAATTGAAAACCAAAGCTCTAACTTAAAAACTTTACACGGGAGATTTCCGCATGGCATGGTAATTTTTTGGACCGGAGTTTTGTTCTTTCTCTATATAAAATGCATAATTTTTCGTAAAAAAACACCATATTCTAATGCCGAGCATTATGAAACTTTTTGTGTGAACTATAGAGCGTCTTCTTTGCACAACATGAAAACCAAATCCCTAACCCAAGCAATATGACCGGAAGTTTCCCGCCTGGCTTGGTCGTTTTAGACATGCAATTTGCTGTCTTCGATATAATCGTAGATCAACTTAAAATTTTCAAGTCACATCATGGAGACAAACCCTACTGACATTGTATTTGACATTATTTTGACCGATCACAACTTAATAAAAATGTTATTTAGTGTTGTAGGAAAGAACGCGGTTTAGAGAACGTTATTATGAGAATTGACATCATGCCAATCTAGCAATTGTAAAATGAACGCTACGTACTTAAAAAAAAGTTGAATGATATTATATTGTTACGGTTTAGAGGATATTCTTCACAGCAATATAAGCCTCATGATAGCAAGAGGCCCAAAATCTTCTTGTTTATTTTCCTCAGTTATCAATATGATTATACAATTATCAAGTATCAAGCTGAGAACTTCTGAAGTTAATGCTATGGCAATATGAAATCTCACAAAGGGCAGTATCTTTAAAATCATGAAAAAGCTGACACTGCACTTAATCTTAATGAGATCTATACATCTGAGAAGTTTCATGCTCATTTTTCCTATAACTTGTGAGTTATATACTCCAGCCAAAGGAACCTGATGATTATATAGACAAACAGTCTACTATAATATATTCTTAGAGGCCATTTCTTTCATCATTTTCTTTTGTTGAATGGTCATGGCCCTTTATTCTATTGTTATAAATATGAGACTATTGTTTGATTTTGGTCTGTTTAACTTAACATAATTAGTGTTTTTGTTTTCTAGACGGAGACACCAAGACCAGCTGTGTCAAGTATAAACCTCTCAAAAATTGTATTCTGAGGGGTTTAACAAACTAACATATTTAAATAGAAGTTAATTTATATACTTCCATTGTACATAAATTACAACAAAATCTCGCTTTGTATTTATACCCCCACCTGCTGTATCCTTTGTGCCAACCAGGTTACTGTTTCCTGTGCTACCATCTTGGGCACTTGCTCCAAAAAACTGAAAAAAGAAAATGTTCTAGCAATTCATATTTATCCTCCATGCTCTGCTTGGGTCGCTATAGTAATAAGGTTAGGAAGTAAATAAATACATGAACAAGAGCTGTCACAGGAGACAGCGAAGCTCGACTAATAAAATACTGGACACAGTAAGGAGGACAAAACTATGAAAGAAAAATCAATTATGTATAATTATGTATTAAGTTATAGTAAAAACATAACATTTGTTTACATAAATTCCAAGATCAAGGGGAATAATTCTAGAAATATTCACGCTAGAGTAATGAACCTTGTCACACAACATGTGTGTAATGATAAGAAATATATATTTGAAGTTTGAAGTAGGTAACCTTAAAAAGTAAAGAAGTTATAATATTTCTTAAAGAAAATCCTATGTTCAAAGAGAGATAAATCTGTAAATATTGCTTCAAGAGTTATGAACATTGTCACATAAAATGTAATTGACGATAAGGAATAAGTATTTGAAGTTTGAGGTAGATACCTTTAAAACTAAAAAAGTTATAGTAAAAAATAAAAATTTTCTAGTAAAAAAATCTAAGTTTATGGGGAGAAAATTCTTGCAATATTGGTGCTAGAGTAATGAACCTTGTCGCATAAGATGTGGATGATGATAAGGTACATATATTTGAAGAATGAGGTTGATCCCTTAAGAAACAAATAAGAAACAGTATAAAATAGTATTTTTAAGGAACTTCTAAGTTCAAGGAGAAATAAATCTGAACAATATTGGTGCTAGAGTTATGAACCTTGTCACATGAGATGGGGATGATGATAAGGTACATCTATTTGACGTTTGAAGTTGATACCTTAAGAAATGACAAAGTTATAGTGAAAAATATTTTACTATCTGAAATCTGGACGCTGATGCCGGGGCGAGTAGGACAGCTCTCCATATACTTCGTATAGTCAAGCTAAAAATGGGAAAGAAACCAACACTTGTTGTTTTACAAGAGTTAGTAAAATACCCACTGATCTAATGTTAATAAATATACCCCCAAGTTAAATGTAAATGAGACAGTATACAGAACAGAGTTTATTGATATAGGCCACAAGTACATAACATAATTATATACCATTTTAACAAATTAACCAAAACTACAATGTGCACATAATATGCATGGCAACAATTCTCAAAATACCTTTGTGATTCTGATAACATATAAGATTTTCAAATCTATAACTGCACAACTTTGTTTGTTTGACTTGTTACATGCTTAATATATATTGCAAGACTTTTAACTTTTTTTCTTTTTGGCAAGATACTGGTTGGCAACCACCAAAGTTGGACAACCACCAAACCTGCCGCTGAATGGTTCCGAAAATACCTGTTTCAGTTTTTTTCTTTGTTCAGTGGTTATTAATATAACAGTCGCTTTATAATACCCTCCTTGATGGGCCTCAGATATAAGTGTCAACATTATCAGAACTAAACAAACTAGCTCTATGCATTATTTCAGGCATAAACGGGAACCTGAATTAAGTACCACCAATACCACTGCGGTATACCGTACCACGGATATTGCTCGATATTGTGAGGATTTTTCATCCCATTTCGCGACTTTGAACGGGGAACAAAGTTAAGTTCAGCGACGATATTTTCCAAACTAATGGCTATTTCATTTATCTAAACGGGTTTTATATATCTAGAGGTATTTTTGTAGCTCTAAAGGACATAAAAGTATTACAGATATTTGTGAAATTGATTAAACTACCCCTAAACGATCCGCTGCTCACTAGAAAATACTGACCGCGATACTGTAGAATTGTTAGAAATGACTATATTACCAATATAAAAAAAATTGAATCGAGCAATTTTTTTATTCACAATCCAAGTATGCTTTGTCCAAATTTCAGGTAAAAAGTGTGAAAGTACAAAAAGATGCAGGCAAAAAAAGATACAAGAAAGTGTACCGAGTATTGCTTTTAAGTGTACAGAGTATTGCAAAATAGCCCAACCTAAGTGTACAGTGTATTGCAAAACAGAATGAGCACATTAGTATGGAAAATCGATATTTTTGTCTATTTTTACGTCTGTTTATCGAGTCCATTTTATTTTGCTGATAATGTACTATTGATATGATATTTATTCAAATATTTCAGATTCAACAATGCATTTTCAGTGTTATTACTGTTCTTTTTCTACGGGCAAATACTGAGATTTAATTTCCCATTTGATTGAAAGTCACATTATGGATGAAATAAAGTGTGTGCAGGGTCGGGAGCAGGGTAGATCTATCAAAATTGACGATATAAATCTTTAAATACATGTCTCAAGAAAATGTGTTTCTGAAAAGAAGAAGAATAAAAAACATATTTAGATGACATTAATAATAGGTTTTTACAGGGCAAGTTTGCCTTAAGAAACATATTGACACACTTAGTAAAATATTGGCCCGCGGGCTTATGCCGTTCAAGCATGTCGGTATCGTCTTAACCTTTTACTGCATGAGCATATTGCGAAAAATGGCCGTTTTCATTGAATTAAACCTCCTGTTACAAGTTCAAACTGCTATGAAACTATAACAAAAATGCTTCAATACTGATCAAACTGGGCACAAATGTTGGCTGGACCATAGCCTGTGGAATAGCATGCTCGATTTTAAATTTCCAGCTACCATGGCACCGGAGGACGTCTCAAAAATTATTGCCAAAAATCTCTATTTTGCGTTGTTTTTTCCCATAAAAACTGATTTCAAGTGCAGCAACTTCTCAATTGATTGAGATAAAGTCTAAGGTTTTTCGGCGTTGATTACACGGCATCTTTAAATCGACCTGAGGCCATTTTACCACCCCACAAGTCCCAAATCTCGGCGATTAGAGGGGCAACTGCCCCACTTCAAACCCCCAAACAGAAGGGGGCACATCCCCCCTGTGGCACTCTCTTGATGTACCTCTTTAATGGGGGGGGGTGGCGCCGAAAAAGTGATCACTCTTTTGAACATTTCTCAAACGAAAAAACCAGTGTTTGGGGCCTAATAAGTGCATGTTTTACACTATTTGAGGCCTCAAAAGGGGTGTGGTGTGAAACCTTCAAAACACGCCTTTATGAGGTAAAAGGTTATAAGGAACATCACCTTTTTATTTCATCTGCTGCCTTTATCATAATCTTATTAAAATCCATTATTCGGTTTTTGAGCTGTATCCGCTCGGCAGTCATACGGTGACTCATTGCTAATGACGTAACAATTTTCACGTGCAGACGGTCTGCCGTTGCTAGAGTGCAGGTGCAAAATGACCGAAAGTTACCTTCATATGGATTTTTGGCATAGTAGTAAGTCGGTTGATATTAGATATTGGCACAAGTCACGGTTCAGAACTGTTCACTAATTCAGGGTGATGATGTGTAAGCGGCGGGATAGCTCAGTCGGTAGAGCCGCGGTACGGTATTCCGAGGGTCCCTGAAATTAGTGAACAGTTCTGAACCGTGACACACTTGCTCAATACCGTCTACTATTGACAATCTTGAGGCAGCATTAATGCACTTTGGATGCATTTTTTTTTACTATTTAAAGTAAGATATGCAATAATTATTAACAAATTCTGGAAAGGTTGATCCTTCGATAGCAACGAGAACTTTGTAAACACAGAAAATTGCTGAGTTCGTTCGACTGAGATTTTTCATGAGCAGGAATGAAAATCTGGATTATTTGCAGATGTTTCCAGTAAAGTACCTCCGACCTCTGCCTATTCTGCACATATAGTGTAAATAAGTATACACAATAAGATATATTTAAGATTAAATGTGGTAAATACTCTGTGTTTACTACTTGCATTTACTCGATATTGATTACCAATACTCGTTACACTAACGGCAATACTCGTGACACCGGCGGGCAACTCCAACGCAATACTCGGTACACTGACATGTGTATTTATTCTCAAAGTGCACTGTCATCTGAGGTTCTATTGTTGATTGAACATTAACAACATAAACATTATCATCATTAACACATTTCACTCGATTCAAGTTTTTTATTTTAAGGAAGTATATGCAGAAAAACATCAAATTTGACTGATCCGAGCTCATTTATCACGTGAGCAAAGAGACGCATTTTACCTCCTAATTACATTTCAAAGCTATTTCTCAACACTTTTGGAGTTTCAGTAACTAGAGAAATTATCGAAGTATTTGTTTTTCTATAGAATTTATATCAAACCAATTCAAAATGACTAAATATCGTCACTGAACTTACCTTCTTTCCTCGTTGAAAGTCGCGAAATGGGATGAAAGTCCTCATTATATCGAGCAATATCCGGGGTACGGTATACCGCAGTGAATACTGGACAGTTTCTCACAAATAAAAAAAAAGAAGAACGTGTTTGTAAGACACAAATGCCCCCGGCTCAGATTCTTGTCAGTAACAATATTTAAAATAAAGGCTGTATGGGCAAAAGTGTAAAAAATCTATTTTTAGCACTGGTGACCTTGACCCAACTGACTCCTAACTCAATCCAAAGGAAGAATAACATGCAACTTATTTTCCTACCAAATATGAAATAAATCTGTCAATATATAAAGGCTGTATGGGCAAAAGTGTAAAAATCTATTTTAGCACTGGTGACGTTGACCCAACTGACCCCTTACTCCATCCAAAGGAAGAATACCATGTAAGTTATCTTCCTTCCAATTATAATACAAATCTGTCAAAAAATAAAGGCTGTATGAGCAAAAGTAAAAAAAAATATTTTTAGCACTGGTGACCTTGACCCAACTGACCCCTACCTCCATCCAAATGTGAATACCTCAATTGTATGTTCCTACAAAATATACAAGACATCTGTCGATAGAATAAGGTTAATGCACCTGTAAAAATATAAACAATCTATTTTTGACATTGTTAACCTTGACCCAAATGACCCCTTACTAAAGGAAGAGGGCCTCCCTTGGTATGACTATTAAAAACATGAAAGACATTAACTTAAAAACAAAGGCTATATGAGCAGAAATGTTTAGATTTTTTTTACACAATTGACCTTGACCTTGACCTAGAGACGCCTAACGCCACAAAAAATTAGAGGACCGTTAAAGCTATCCACCTACCAAATATGAAAAATATCATTAAATAAATCAGGTAATTAGGTGAATTTTTTTGATAAATCCAACTTGGCGGAATAGGTAACTATACAAGGCCCTATTTTCAAAGTGATAAAAAGGGAAATTACTGGGAAAATGGATGGCACATTTATATAACCTGGCAATATCATGTACATTGTATTGATAAGTAAGTGTGAAAATTATTAAGCCATTAGTTCAGATAGAACATAAGATATTTCCAACTTGCCGGTTTAGGTTAACCAGTATTCATTTTCTAAGTGCTAAAAAGGGCCATAACTTAGTGCAAATTGAAGCCATAGTTATGTAACTTGCCCAGATCATATACTTTGTATGGATTAGTAAGTGTGTAAATTATGAAGCCATTGGTACCTGTAGAACGTAAGAAAAATCCATCTTGCCGTTCTAGCTTAACCTCGTACGGAAAGACGGACGGACGGATGGACAGACAGACGGACGGACGTTTTTACAGGACAGTAATTGTGTGGCTACTCTTTTGTTCTCTCTATTGTTCTTTTATGCCACACAAAAGAAAATAGCCACATAAAAGCATTACGGAATGAATGACATCAAAGAGAAAGAACAGTTACCTATTGTCCCTCTAGCCAAATAATTACTGTCCTGTGAGTGCGGGCAAACAGACGGACGGACGGTTCAATTACTATATGCCCGGGGGCATAAAAATCCCGCAAAAAAGTCCAAGTCCCTGGTGGGATTTTAACCCACAGCAGTGCACTGATTTGAAATTCAGTATTTTGTTTGTTTGTTTGTTTGTTTGTTTCATTTTACGCCTTTTTCCAACAGTATTTCAGTCATATAGGCGGGTAGTTTCCTAACCATCGTTCCTAATTCAGTATTTACCTGTGGGTTATTTTGGCATAGACAGTCTGGAGACCACATTCGATGCTGACTCGAAGGACAATCATCTGTAAAAAATAAATTAAAATAATTAACTTGATTTTATTTCAACAAGATGATTCAGAATATCCATGATGAATGGATGAATACATACTTAAAGAGATAAAAAGATTGATACACAGATAAAGGCTACCATAGTACATTGACCATTATTTCAAACAAGGTCATAATGGCTTCCAGGTGTCAACGTGTCAAATATTTTAAACATAATCCCACTATCTAGACCTTTGACTAGTTGACCATAATCAACAGGAATCATCTACTTTTCAAGACCTACATCCACATCATATCTTATTACTGCAGGCCAAAGAATTATTAAGTTATTGGTCCAACAAGCCTTGAAAGGTCAAGGGCATAATGAGCTTGACCTAAAAATCAATAGTGGTAATTTAATTGTATTAACCAGCCTCCACAGTTAAAATAGTATGCCAAAGTGTTCCCTAATTCAAAAAACTTTTATTAGTGAGGGCTGCCCTTGTTCTACTTATCTCAAATCGAAAGGGGTCAGTTACTAGTCAACACCAACATCCACAACAAATCGTAGGACTCAAGGTTAAAGTTCTGTCTACTTATTGGTCAGACAAGCTTTTATGGGCCACCATGGTAATATATTGACCTTTAAATCAATAGGGATCGTCTACTAGCAATGTCCTTTCTTAATGACATAAACAATGGCTTATTTTTTCTCAAACTGATTAGACAACATACATACAGATGTCTGTACAGACTGATACGAAGGCAAACTAATAATAGTATGCTCCCAATTTTTTTTTATTCATTGCATCAAAATCAGTTTAGTTTGTAATTGCAAAGATATGACATAGGTCAGTTGGTCAAGTTTGTAGTCATCCAAATTCAATTTTTTTCTAAACTAATTACTGTACGAGTGGTCTAAAACTGCAAAAGAAGGTCAAAGACCCATACAGCCTCTCACAAATTCTTTTAACGCTTTTGATTTATAAGGCTAAGTAACATTAATGATCTCAAGAGAGAGGGCATATTTTTGACCATATGGGCATTATTTGGATAAACCTTGGAAGCAACAAGCAATATTACATTTTTAAATAATAAGTCTCTAGGCCTCATAGTTTTTCAGTATTGAGAAATAAAGCAAGAAGCGCCGCAATGCAATAAAACCAGGTTTTCAAAATCAGTAGGTCAAAGTGCAGTCTGAAGTAATTGAGTAGGAGCTGAAAATTCTATTGTCAGCAAATGACCTTGACCTTGCTCCCATATATCTAAAAGACAATCCCAAGCTTCCACACAGCAGGTTTGGTGTCAAAAGGTCCAAGCAAACTCAAGTTATTATGTATAAACTGAATTTATTTTATAAACTTTTTTCAATAAGCAACTGTGACCTTGTTCACAGACACCTGGGTAGCAATACCAAGTAGCATCTTGATATAAGCTACTTACATACTAAATTTGGTGTCAATTAAAAGTGCAAGTAAACTCAAGTTACTATGGGGAGACTGAATTTCTATTTTTAGCAACACTGACATTGACCTAGATCACAGACATCTGGGTAGGAATCCCAAGTCTGATATAAGCTACCAACACAGCAAATTTGCTGTCAATATGTCACAACTAAGTTATTGAGCAGAAACTCAAAATAAATGAGGGGGGCATTGTCTAGCAAGGTACTCAAGGTGTGACAGAAACATTCTTTATTCAAATTACAAGCAACTGTCTGAAATAAACTTGTGAAACAAGAGCCGGTTGAACCGGGTGACGCTCCCCGACTAGGATTTGGACACAGAAAAGTATATATATCTTTTGTAGTTTCAGAGTTATGTCCCAGACAAAGTTAAAAGTGTGATGATTCTAAACTTGGGCAATGCAGAGTAACTGTTCTTTGCACTGCACTTCTACTCAATTAGATCTACACGATTTTTCTGCAAGGTCATGCTGTGACCTTGAACTTCAAGGTAGTGACCAAAATGTTGCACACAACACGTCATCTCAATACGTTGATCATTTCTGTAAAATAGTTGTAAAATCCGACTTCAAATAACCACACGATTTTTGTTCAAGGTCATGCTGTGACCTCGACCTTCACGGTAGCGACCCAAAGTTTGCGCGCGACACGTCCTCCAATATGGTAATTATTTCTGTAAAAAGTTATAAAATCGACTTCAAATAACAAAGTTATGGGTCAGTCATGATTTTGCTGCAAGGTCATGCTGTGACCTTGACTTTCAAGGTAGCGACCCAAATGTAGTACGCGACACATCGTCTCAATATGGTGATCATTTCTGTGAAATACTTGTAAATCTGACTTCAAATAAATAAGTTATTGGCCGGACACGATTTTTTCCCAAGGTTTCATGCTGTGACCGCCCTTTAAAAGGCACGACCCAAATTTTGCGCGGAAAATTTTTCCCCCAAATATGGTTTACCCATTTTGTGAAAAAGTTTTAAAATTTTGGGGACTTCAAATAAAAAAGTTTTTTGGGGGGGGAACCCGATTTTTTTTCAAATTTTCAGGGCTTTTAACCAATGCCTTCAAAAGTAGGCGACCCAAATCTTGGGCAAACGGTTTGTCTTCAAAATCGGTAATAAATTTAGGGTGAAAATATTTTTAAAAAACCCGATTTTCAAATAAGAAAGTAATGGGCTGGACATGATTTTGGTTCCCAAGGTCATGCTGGACTTTTGCCCCAAGGCAGCCCCCCCAAATTTTGCCCGCGGGGAAACCACATCGTTTTTAAATAGGGCCGTGTTTTTTTCTTAAAATTTTAAAAATTTCCCAATTTAAAATTACAAAGTTATGGGCCGGACACGAATTCGGGACGTACGGACGGACAATTCGGGGAGCATAATAAATATATACTGGTATCTCTACTAAATTTCATTCCCTGCCTTTTCCCAATGTCACCTAGGGTTGGATTACCAGACCCATTCCCAATGACAAAATATATATATATTTTTCCCAATCTTTAAAAAAAAACCCAAAACCCCAAAAAAAGGGCAAAGCTAGATTTTAAATTTAAGTTTTTGGGTCTGGGCAGATGTACCCCCTTTTCATTTTAATGTTCAAATTTTTTTTTATATTTTTATTGCTTTGAAAGATGAATAAAAAATTTTTTCACCCAAATTCCAAAAAAAACTCTGCCCTTTAAAAAGGGATGAGGGGGTTTCAAAAAAGTTTAAAAAAAATTTTTTCAAAATTAAAACCAAATTTTTGATCAAAATTTCCCCCAAAATTTGGGGGGAGGGAAATTTTTCCCCCAAATGACTAAAAAGCAGGGGCCCCAGAATTTTCCCTTTGACTTTACTTTACCCTTTATCTCAAAAACCACGTATTTTTAAAATTTCTTATCTAAAATTGTACCCCAAAAAACCCGCTTTTTATAAAATCTAAAAACCCCCATAAAAAATTTTAAACCCGTGAATTTTTGGGAACTGATATGCCCTTTCTTTGAATTTTTTAACCAAAAGGGGTTTTAAAAAAAATTACAAACATTTTGATTGAGGTACCAACAGTATAGAGCCTGGTCAGACTCCACAATTATGTTCTATATATACTGGTGGTTATTTTGAGGATTGTCAATGCCAGCAGGTTAAAGAGTATCACAATAAGATAAAAATGTTGGTACAAATGTTAGACAATAAATCACAAATACATGCAGCAACTAAAACAATGTAATACATGCTGTGCTGAGATGAAAAAAGTAAGTAAATGAAATATGAAATGTTAAATGTTAAAAATGTTTCTAATGATCGATACAGCTTTTAAAGTAATACAGGAGATCTTCACAGTTTTATAAAACATAATTATATCTAATACAGTCTGTACGAAAAATACTGACAAGCAGGGTTTGAATTAATTAAATAAAATCAAGCGCAAACGTATGTACATTTTGTAACTATTAATTTATAAAATGATTTTTTTTAAATGAAATTATAATGAGATAATATGTTTATTGATAATACATAAAATATAATAGAGGTAAGAGAAATCATTTATACTAAAATTGTACAATAAATCTCATATTTTGAAAAAGCAAAATTTTGCATGTGTAAGAAAAGGTTAAATTCTAGGCCTTGCCAATTTTTATAATTATTAGATAATTATGATTTACACACTATTATATCAGTGCAATAACATGCAGTTTACATTGATACATGCAGTGAGGTCTTTGCATTACTGATTGATTGATTGATTGATTGATTGATTGATTGATTGATGTAGACAATTAGCATAATTTGTTATTCTAGACCAAATACTTTTCATGTTACAACAAATCTGGCAGTACCTTATGGATTTAAAATGCGAGTTAATATTAAATTGTCGAATTATTTATTTTAAATATCAAACTTTATCACTTAGACTTTCTTTCTGTATAAGAACAAAACTCATCACATATGCTCTAAAGTTATGTTAAGGACAAGAACATATTTTCTATTCAATTAAAGTGTGACCTTGACATTATGAGCTACAAACCTTGCTTTTACACCAGACACAATATGAGCTCAATGTGCCCAACATTAATGTATAATTATTTCAAAATCCAATTTCATAAAGGACAAATTTTGCATGGACTGGAATTGACCATAATTATTACGATTTTGAATTTCAAATGTGACCTGATGTCCTTTGAGCTTGAGATTCTTGCATAAAAACAGTGTCCTCTGATGTTCATTAAGTTATATTAAAATCCATCCACAAATGACAGATTTATTTACCAGAAAATCCAAATTTATTAAACATTAATGTAAAGACTTTGGCATAGAAGTTTGACCTTGACCTTTGAGCTTGGACCTGATTCTTGTGCTGATATGTAACCAATATAAGCCAAGTAATCTTAAAATACGTCCAGGAATAACAGAATTTTTGTCAGGACACAAATATTACTTTCAAGTTGAAGTGTGACTTGACCTTTGACCGACATTCAAGGACATGCGATAAATTATCTCAATTAGTCAATCTCAAAACCATAAAAAAGGGGAAATTCCAAAGAAGCAATGAAATCTACGAAATTTCATGAAAATTGCAGACTTGGTTTGATTGAGTCTCTTCATGAAGGATAATTGAAAAGTAAAACATCCTTCATGCCCCCTAGCACTGGTTTAAGTGGAATTCAAACTTCAATTTTCAATGTGCCAAGCTTAATGATCCTGAAAGTCCAGAAAAATATAACAAGAGGACCATGGTGGCCATGAGTCGCTCACCAGAAACAACTGCTTTTCAGTGTAGGAAATTATTTTTCAAATAAACTTGCTGAAAGGCAAATCCATCTCTTTCGGCACGTTCCATTCAACTTTCACTTGCCATCTATCAATATACTTTCACAACACTGATTGTCTTTTCTTTTCTTTTTTTCTTTTTGGTTTTGTTTGTTTCATAATAAACAATAGGGCCACTAAGATGGCCCTTGATCACTCATCTAACCCATTATTTCATTATTCACTATATAGATTAAAATATTTTGAAAGGCTTTGTTAAAAATTCAAGTGTGTACCTATGAGACTTATTTATGTAGAATAAATGCGGAATAAATGACCACTAGAGCAGAGTTAATTTTGATGGGACATTTTTTTTATTATGATACTATGCTCATCTTTGAGTTAAATATTTCTATCATAGAAATTCATTGAAATCTATGATATTCTTACTGAATATATCTAAATTGGATTATGGAATGAATAATCTATGTATGAGAAGCTACATATCCTATTAAAAATATATGCCAAGTAAAGTTTGTCTTTTCTATGAAACAACAGGCAGTTTTTTTAATACCACTATATATTCATACTATGACCACCAGTCCTATAGTGTGAAGAGTTTAAAACATAACAATTATCTACTTTGTGTGAAGTCAAAACACGTTTATTTTTATATTTCTCAAGAGACTGTGAATCCATTGTCAATATTTTCTTATATTAAATTTGAGCACAGAATATCTTTAAACCATAATTGAAGAAATGCCATGGCCTAAGGCATTTAAGCTTTAGCGGCCCCTAAAAAGGGGCCAATCAAATTAATATGGAACTGTTTTCAATTATACAGGAAATTTTGCACTTAATCAAGAACAACTTGTTGGCAAAGCATTGAAAGCTCTTTATGTGTTGTTAATAAAATGTAATAAATATAGACTGAAACCAAAATTGCTTTGTCAACTATTTGATTTATTTGTAGGTTCAATATTAAACTATGCGTCTGAAATTTTGGGGCTACGGCAAATCTAAAGAAATAGAAAGGGTACATTTGAAATGTTGTTTAAAAAGATATTAAATGTTAATATAAGAACGTCTTAATGCAGCTGTATATGGAGAGTTAGCACGTTATCCATTATATATATTAAGACATGTTAAAATTCTGAAATTCTGGTTCCGAATTGTTAAAAAGATAACGTTATTCTTAAGGAAGTTTATAATTATAAGTCTAAATGATTGTAATAATTTAGTAAAACAAACTCGGAAACAAAAGTTTAAGAAATTGTTAAAACCGAAAATGATTTTTACATTATATTCTGGAATAACCAGAAATCAGTTGATGTAAATTTCTATTTAATACCATATATTTAAAACAGAATTGCTAATATAGACACCTTTTGTCCAAACCTGGCATGTTTAATAATGGAAAAACAATAAACGTTTTTAAACTTGTTATACAAATATTTAACACAACTTTTACATATGAACTGTTACTTAGGATCATTTTTGCAAGCCAATTTGAGATTTTTTATTTAGTAAAATTTCAGAATGTTCCTTCTCATCCTTTACCTTATTCATACCTGGGCAAGGTTTGGAAATTAGTAGGTTAAACTTAGGAAAATGAAACGTTATTGCCATTTATTTGTAACATGCACCAATCTGGAAAGAATGAATATCATTTTATTATCATTTGTCCATGTTATGTTGAGCTTAGAAAAACATATATTAAACCTTATTACTATGTTAGATCTAGCGTTCATAAGTTTTTTAGATCTTTTAAATTCAACCAACAAGTTACTTTTGAAAAATCTAGCTTTGTATATTAACAAGAGGGCCATGATGGCCCTGGATCGCCCCCCTGACCCATCAACCGCATCCAAGCAATGTCTTAGACAAGCATCCTGGCCAAGTTTTGATGACAAAACTGAGTCAAACATGTGACCTCTAGTGTGTTAAAAAGTTTTTTCCATATTTTGGGGCAATGTGACCTAATTTTTTGATCGGAGACGACCCATATTCAAACTTGACCTAGAAATCATCAAAACAACCTTCCTGACAAATTTCCAGGTAATTTGAAGCAAACACTGCAGCCACTAGAGTGTTAAAAAGATTTTTCTATTTTTTGCTCCTGTAACCTAGTTTTTGACCGGACATGACAAATCTTCGAACTTGACCTAAAAATAATCAAAACAACCTTCCTGACAAATTTCAAGAATATTTGGTTCAAAACTGCAGCCACTAGAGTGTTAATTTTTTTTTTTCTATTTTTAGCTCCTGTGGCCTAGTTTTTGACCGGATATGACCCATCTTCGAACTTGACCTAGAAATCATCAAAACAACCTCCTGAAAAATTTCCAGAATATTTGAATCAAAACTGCAGCCACTAGAGTGTTAACAACTATTCTATTTTTAGCTCCTGTGACCTAGTTTTTGACCGGAGATGACCCATCTTCGAACTTGACCTAGAAATCATCAAAATAACCTTCCTGAAAAATTTCCAAAATATTTAGATGAGTACTGCAGCCACTAGAGTGTTAACAAGCTTTTTCTATTTTTAGAATCTGTGACCTAGTTTTTGACCGGAGATAAACCATCTTCGAACTTGACCTACAAATCATCAAAACAACCTTCCTGACAAATTTCCAGAATATTTGGATGAAAACTGCAGCCACTAGAGTGTTTAGAAACTTTTTCTATTTTTAGCTCCTGTGACCTAGTTTTTGACCGGAGATGACCCATCTTCAGACTTGACCTAGAAATCATCAAAACAACCTTCCTGACAAATTTCAAGAATATTTGGATGAAAACTGCAGCTAATAGAGTGTTAACATGCTTTTTCTATTTTTAGAATCTGTGATCTAGTTTTTGACGGACATGACCCATCTTCGAACTTGACCTAGAAATCATCAAAACAACCTTCCTGACAAATTTCCAGAATATTTGGATCAAAACTGCAGCCACTAGAGTGTTTACAAGCTTTTTTCTATTTTTAGCACCTGTGACCTAGTTTTTCATCGTCAGATATTATGACAAAGCTTGATGATTGAGGAATTAATGCGACTGTGGACGGACGACGGACAATCATCGATCCTAAAAGCTCAACCTGAGCATGCTCAGGTGAGCTAAAAAAACTTCATTCACAACGGAACCAGCAATTGTCATGATTTTAGGGGGTTTTGAAATAACCAACCAATCAGTTATAGTTTTGAAAATTACAGTAAGGCTTCTTCTCAATGGGTAATAAATTTCCCATGATTCTTGTGTATTCATAAAAACAGAGACAGAAGCAGAATTTAAGAAATTTCTCACACACGCTCGGTACTTGAACGTCAACTTCTTGATGGTTATTTGCAATTTATAGATTAAACTAAGTTTCTAAACGCTACCTTAAAATTTTGTCAGTAAGCTCGGACACGTTACATTGTCAATTGAAATTCTTGGTCAGAAAAAACTCTCGAAAAGTGCACTATCCAAAGCTTTTGATTTTGGTACACAACACCACCAACATGTATTATTTCAAATATAACAAACAAGCGCATATGTCAAAAATTGCAATACCTTTGAGAATCTTCGTTTAACAATTAGCATAACATATTAAAATTATTTCACTGGTACCAGTTACTTAAAGCTACAACATAAAAAATTAAAGAAGTCAACGATTTACTAAACTGGAAATACTGTTGATAGCTTTAAAGTTCTAGAACTAAAAATTGTCAAATACCTTCTTTTAGATCGTCAACAGGCTTGTCTTCAGTGTTTATTTTGTCATGCTTTTGGGCTTCCATATCTAATACATCATCGTTGTCCTTAGCTTTATTTGACATGACGATGTTATCCATTTTTGAACAATTGGAGTTTGCTATCTCTGAAAGAAATATATAGGTAGGAAAACAAACTTTTGTTTGTTTGTTATTCTGTTTTAACAAAATTTCTGGTCACATCTCGGCGATAAGTTCACCTTACTGGCTTTCCTGGATCCCGGATATCAAATCAATTACTCTCCCTTTTTGGATTAGCAGAAGGAAAGCATCGAGGTAAAATGACTAGCAATTGTTAAATTCTGTCTAAAGAAACAAGACCTTGTGGTTTTTACCTATATTTGCCATTAGTACCCACTTATCTTCTCGAATGTCTTTCCGGACAAAAATGGAGATACATGTCGGGATAAAAAAGTTGAATATAAATTATTTTAAATATTACTATCACCTTACATTATACATGTTTGGCTTAAGTCAATTCATTGTTTACTCAACATGACACCATTTAAATAGATTCAAAATTATTTGGTTGAAAATCATCTGAACAAGATCAAATTACATTCATCATTTCGTAGACTCGATTATTATGATTTTGATTAGTTTAACATGACCTATACAAAAAGGCAAAAAATAGCCGATGTTGAATTGTCAATTAGAACCACTAACTGAATATATGTTCATCTACTGCCATTCACCCCCCCCCCCCCCCCCTTTCCCCATCATCCGATGAATTCATGAAAAACAGATGTATTATAATTCAACATTTCTATTGATAATAGCCGATTTTTTTTTGATTTTTTATAACCCTTCACGGATACTAACATTGTAAATTGTGTATTGTTTTGCTCTTTTTTCAATTGATATTTTGTATAATCAACATCATCGATAACCGATGGCATGACGTCCCCTTAACAACAAAACTAGTTCATGAAAAGCGCCATAACGACGTCTTTTTACAAATTTAATTTTAAGTTGGAGTTTGATCATTGGTTTGCCTAGTAGTTGTGTAAACATTAGAAAATCTAGTTAAGCTTTATATGCAAGTTAAAAAACTGATAAAACAATACTTAAATAAATATGAAAGCAAACATTCTTAACTTATACAGTACAGCTGTTTACTTATTATCTGTACCTAATGAGATAATATAGAAAAATATTTTCAGTAAAAGTTGACATTGCTTTAAATCATCGCTCGTACACCCTAATGCAAATATGTATAGGTCATCAAAAATCGGTAGTGAGGGATGGAACCAATTAATGAAACTTAATTATCTTTATAATTCTAAGTGACTCCAAGGATAGAGCTTTACCCTACTACTTACATATACATGTAAGGTCTACTTGGCAATGTCACATGCCAAACACCTTTGCATTATAGTTTACATGGACACATAAGGACAACATCTTCCTTATATGAAATATAGCATCACGACATGTTATTATTAATATAGACATGAAGGAATGAAGGAAAAAATGACCACGCCCTAGCAGTCATCTGTTTAAAATTGATTCTGTGAAAGAAACAGGATAAACTTTCAATCAAAGAATGAAATGAAAGAGATTTATTCATCTTCCGTTATATATATCAGAATCAAAAATATAAAAGATTTGAAAGTTATTTAAGTAGATTTTCCACTTAACAACGATTCTAAGGAAAGTCTTCAGTGTTTTAGAACAACAATCGAATCTTTCACCATGGAACGATTGAAATACAGCTTCCAATTTAATAGAGAAAGCAAGAATCCCCAAAGAAAGTCCAACACAACATAATTGAAAATGTTGCAGGCTTGTTTTGATTGAGCCTGTTCATGGACGGTACTGTAAAGTGCAAACTACCGTCCACGCCCCCTAGCACCGGCTTAAGCAGAATTCAACATTTAAAATGAATTGGCACAATTTTGAATTTTAAAACATCCGCAGATGTGTTCATATGGCGGTTATCATGGAACCTTCAATGTGACACTAAGTGCCATTCTATGAAAAGCGGCATATAGTCCCCAAGTAAAAAAAAACTGACTTATCATTTTAAACGTCTACCACGTCATTAATATCCTTGACTCGACGATGTTGTAATATTCCCATTCCGTTGGTGTTGATATTTTGTATACAGTAAAGTGCACTAAAGTATAGTTAAAGTTGATGTTGTTTTGAATTATCTATCGTACACCCTAATGCAAACATGTTTAGTCATAAAAAATGTTATCAGGGATGGAACCCATTTATGATGACACAAAATACTCCTTATTATTCTAAGTGACCCTAAAGGTAGGGCTTTATAATTTACCTACTTACATATTTCATGTATGTTGGCAATGTCATATAACAGACATCTTGTCATTAAAGTTTACCAAAAGAAGAATGGCATGTGTTTTCCAAGGCATTTCATTTCTCTAAATAATATAAATCAAAGTGCCAATTTAGATGCCAGGGTTATGATTTATATACGTTTTGTTGAGGACTGTAAGGGGACTTAACAAACATATTTTTTAGTTTTTTAGGGCTTGAAAAACAAGGATTAGGATATGTTCTTATTGCTTTTCTCAACATAAGTATATGTAAAGTACTTTTGTAGAAAACAACAACATTATGCTACAAGATTTTCCCTTGTTATAAAATATTTGGAGGAGAAAACATTTTCTCAAACGTTTATACTAAATAAATATGTGTAATTATATTGTGCCCTTTAACCCTAGTAACACGATTTATATCTAGTTTATAAAGGTCAACAAAACAACGTTATTGCAAAATATCTTATCTCTATTCATTGTTATTTCAGATAATTAGACTTAAATGTGTTTTACCAAATAAAATAGGTGACCCACAGGGCGGGACAATTTGAAACCTGAGGAAGCCAAAGCTTGCATTATGTAAATCGTCTCATTATCATAAACATTTCTTAATATTTTGAAATTCACACATGTGATAATAAACTATTTAGACCTTGACCTTGACACATGAATGCCCAAATCTTCGCTCTGCACAACGACTAATTATGGTTAGCATTTCTGCCAAAATATTGAGTAGACACAATTTGCTTATCGATGGACGGAGTAACAACCACGAGAACATCATTATAGGCCGAAATTCTGTTTCGCTTATAATAGAAAAAAACGTTCATATAGGGGTGGGGGGGGGGGTGGCAAAATAACTGAAAGACTAGAAATTTACGTATAAATGTGCATAGTTATGAATACGAAACTTTTTTATTTCTTTCTGTTACTTGTATCGATTTTTACCTCACATCATAGTAGAGGAAATGTTTGGAAATATTTTGCAAGTCAAAGACATTTCTGCTTTCTTCATTATTTTATACTTCATTTTTCACATAGCATAGCAATACTTTCTATTTAAATAAATAACATTAAATATTTATACCTGACAATGAATTTACTTACGTTTATTGGAGCATCCTGTGAATTCACCTTCTGCTGACCGATGCGCCGCGTCAGTCATTTCGATCTGCAAAATTATGAAAAAACACAAACATGTTATTTAGTGGCTTCTTGAAGTAAACAATGCATAACAATCATGCAAGACTATTAAACTTATCAAATTACTGCTCAATAGCACGTAGAACCCATGGTAAATGGCATCTTTAATCGAAACACAGAGTGACCAAACATGACGTGTACTTCTATGCAAGAATAGCGTAAAAATATCTTTTTGTACAAAGCAAGGTGTATTAACCCCCTTTGTTCAACGGTATGGTATTAATGGTATTAATGTCAGTTATCTCTCTCTCTCTCTCTCTCTCTCCCTCTCTCCCTCCCTCTCTCTCTCCATCTCTCTCCCTCCCCCTCTCTCTCTCTCTCTCTCTCGCTCTCTCTCTCTCTCTCTTCATTTCTTTTGACACTAATACAAAACGTATCTACTGACAATTTTAGTGATGCTTTCAAAACTTGAGCTTTAAAGATATTTCTCAGCCTTCATTGTTTCTAAAATGGAATAACCTTATAGAAAAGGGATAAATTTAATAATTCATAAAATTAATATTTATCTGTAACTGTGCATGTAACACGCTCACGTAAATATAACTGTACTCTATTATCGGTTCTCTGCATATACTTTATTCAGTTAAACGCATTTAAATAATAATTTGCAACTGATTTCCTTTACTTACTTCTGTTCATATGGGCAATAGCTGGTAGCGTCGTGACATTATTTATAATGTTAAAATAATTAAGTCAACGCTGACTTTTTACACAAAATATTTATCCTAATTCAAAACAAATATGCCTAATCATTATCAACGGCCAACAAATGAATTTAAAAAGTGTATTGACGTTCTGATTTGATCTTATATATTATAATCCAATTTCGCCCAGTAGAATTAAAATAGAAAAGGGACTAAAGCATACTTACAGATACATGTCATATATTTCAGTTATTTCTTAAATTAAAACTGCTTCTTTGTACGAATCGTGTACTTACCTTTGAAATGGATTGAATTTTAGTCATTTATTTCTATTAGTATAATAAGACATTATACTAATTATTAAGTTGTATGAGTCGAAAACATGTAAGTTAAGTTTGCCAGTGTCCTCGCGGTACAATTTATATATGTTGGCCATAGTCAACAACATTGCTTTCTATCATAAAATTAAACTAGAAAAATGTGTCCATAGGACACGGGTGCCCCCACCGCGCCACTGTTCTGTTAATATTATGACTCTAAGTCAAAAAAATTTTGAAAACTAAAAATCTTTTACTAAGTAAAGGGCAAGAACTTTACAAATAAATAATAAATCCACAAGCAAACCCCAAGGTGATTAAGTACACATGCTGACCAACATTCTTGTAAACTTTCAGGCCTACAAGTGAAATACTTTTTGAGCTATGCATGAACAAGTTGAAAACTGCAAATTTATACTACTGTAAGTCAAGGGCAATAACTCTTACAAAACTGAAAACAATCCACATGCAAAGCTCCAGGTTCATAGCTTCACAGTGAGGTGAATCATTATTCCTGTAATTTAGTGATGTTGATCATTATTCCTGTAAAGTTGGTTGATTCTAACTCAAGCACTCAAGGGACAAATAACAACATAATGAAACGGCTTTTACTAAGTCAAGGGAAATAACTCTACAAATACTGGATAAATCTACAAGCGAAACCCCAGGTGCAAAACTAAATATGCTGAGCAACCTTCCCATAAGGTTTAATGACTCTATGTCAAATCCTTTTTGAGTTGCATGCGACACAAGTTGAAAATTGCAAACATTTTCTAAGTCAAGGGCAATAACTCTAAAAATACTAAATAAATCCAGACAAAAATACCCAGGTGCACAACTACACATGCTGGTCAATATTCCTGTAATGTTTCATGACTCTAGGTCAAATCCGTTTTGAGTTACATGCGACACAAGTTGAAAATTGCAAAGTTTTACTAAATCAAGGACAATAACTCTAAAAATACTAAATGAATCCGGACAAAAATACCCAGGTGCACAACTACACATGCTGATCAACAGTCCTGTAAAGTTTCATGACTCTAGGTCAAATACATTTTGAGTTACATGCAACACAAGTTAAAAATTGCAAAATTTTACTAAGTCAAGGGCAATAAATCTAAAAATACTATAAATATCCAGACGAAACCTTCCTACAACAGAACTTTTATATAGTAAAACCCTCTAGCCTCTTTACAATGGAATCTCTTTACAGTAAAACTATCTCTGCAGTGAATGCTCTAGTAAAAATCATCTTCACATAATATCAAAGTAAGATAAGAAAATTTTGCACAACTACACATGCTGATCAACATTCCTGTAAAGTTTCATGACTCTAGGTCAAATACTTTTTGAGTTACATGCGACACAAGTTGAAAATTGCAAAATTTTACTAAATCAAGGGCAATTACTCTAAAATTACTTAAAATATCCAGACGTAAATACCCAGGTGCACAACTATACATGCTGATCAACATTCCTGTAAAGTTTCATGACTCTAGGTCAAATACTTTTTGAGTTACGTGCGACACAAAAGTGAACGGACGGAAGGACGGACGGACAAGGGTAAATCTAAATGCTCGCCACTAAAGTGGGGGCACAAGAAAGCTATAGTTCGATGAAATAATATTTTTGATTCTATTTCTAACAAAGCAGTCTTATTGCGCGCATAAAGTTTGGTAATGTATTCCAGATATTCAACTTTTGGACTTGTGATTTGTCCTGCCGCAGATAATTCTAAACTAAGAATACTGGTTAGTTTCTCGCACAGGAGATACACAACATTATTGCAAAATACCTTATCTCTATGAATTGATACACACAAGCATTATTGTACTAAAGTTTAAATTGTAGGTAATAAATAAATAAATAAACAAATAAATAAATAAATAAATAAATAGATAAATAAATAAATAAATAAAAATATTTTGATAGTTTTTGCTTATTTATAACATTTTTTTTTCATAACATATGCGCTAAAATATTCCGTATTCGTTCGTCGTTATGATAGTATCAACTTTGCCAAACAGAAACATAACATAAAATCGACAGACTGGAACCCAGGCTAATCGCCATGAGTCAATTTGCCCCTCCTTTTTTGCGCGATTTCTTGACGCAGACGTCACAATTCGTCTACATAGTACGTACCGTTAATGGTACGACCTTGCTCAAGATAATTAATCATGATTATCCCCTAACTATCCCAAAAACTTAAAGCCATCATATTCCCCTGATGGCACCCTCTTGAATTGTTTCGGAGGGGGTGAACCAGGGTGCTTCCACTGCATGCTCTGTTTTTGGATTCATGATCGAAGTTATGGACCCATCTTTCCAGTAGATCCAGTAGAAAAAATCAGGTTCATCCTCGATGCGAGACAAAACATATCTTCAAATGTCAAGCCTTGTCCGTTTCTGGTCGTCAGTCTAACTGTCTGGGGACCCATCTAGCAGAAACCTTTGACATGCCATAGACATCAGTCTGAAATGCCTGAACTGAAATAAAGCTTATACCCACTTCCCTAGCAATGCTTTGCAGGTTTCGCCTTCTATCGCGTTTGACCAGATAGTGCATAGCTTTGACAGTTACATCGTTGGTGACCTCTTTTGGCCGCCCAGGCCGCTCATCATCTCCACTGCTCTCCCTGCCCTTCTTAAATTAAGCAGCCCATTATTTTACAGTGCTATAGGAAGGGGACTCCCTCCAAAGTGTATCCATAAAAGGATTTTCTTTGGGGACATCCCTTTCTTACAGAGGTACTTAATCACAAGTTAATGTCGGGGCATGATTCAATAAAAGAACCCTTTTGACAATTAACTTGGAAATGAAATGTACATTTCAGAATAAAGATGTCAAAAGAGTAAGAAATGATGCTAAAAAGAACATAATGCCGAGCAAAATTTCCAAGTTAATTGTAAAAGGGTTCTTCTACTGAATCATGCCCCGACATGAACGAATGTGAAGAACACTTCAATATTAAACCAAGTCTCCAACAAAACTCTTCAGATCAGTTATTTGATTCTGAGAAAAGCAAAAGAGGTAACAGTAACAACAACACATTAAATGCACATGATTTGAAGCCTGAAAAAAATAGGGACAGCCCAGACTGAGCATGGTAAGAAACAAAAAAACAGAGAAAAATAAGGTAAAAGATGACAAAAAAGTTATAGATATAGAAACGGTATTAGAAAGCATAAAAGATTCGCTCTTTCCGGTTGGTTATGAAACATATGACGTACCAACTGCAGACAATGTAGCCGATGCAATCAATAACTGTTGAAAAACCAACTGCATCCATAAAATGGGAAAACATATTTAATGACAATATAATAGATTGGAAACCAATATTTATTATACCTTTTAAGTCTTCAATCGACACCAATCTTCGTAGTTTTCAATACAAAGTTTTAATGCGTTAAGTCCCAACAAATAAATATCTTTTTAAATGCAAATTATCATCAAGCAATTTGTGTGATATTTGTTATATGATAGAATCTATTGAACATTTTATATGGGAATGTCAATTAACAAAAGTTTTCTGGAACAAAATTTAAACATTTTTATTCTCTACAGATGATGAATACCTGTAAACTTAAGACAGGTGTGTTTCGGTATATATGGTAAACATAACACTGTAAATGTTATCGTAATTCTGTATAAATACTTCATATTTAAAATGAAATATAGCAAAAATATACCCACTTTTGAAAAATGTATGCCATTTCTCTCTTACAGGATTAGAATTGAAAAAGAATCTACAAAATTTTGAAGAAAAATGGTCAAACTTCAATGAAACTTAACCTTTAACAGACCCTAAAACCACACAATTTAGGCATATAAGTATGCATATATAAATAGAAAAGGAAACGATCTTCAATTCTTATCTCCGTTTAGTTTATTCCTTATATTTTCTCCATTTTTTTAAATATATTTTTTACTAAGTATTAGCTTTGTCAAATATCATTATGAATGTATTTTTTTCAACTATCTTTTAATAGGGACATAACTTATCTTTATATTTTCTCTCTCTTTTTTCTTCTCATTCTTCGGTTATCTTTCCTTTCTTTATACACTTACTTTTCTCTCTTTCATACTTATTATGCACTTTATAGTACTATCTGAGTATATATGAGTACTACTTTTGTTAGCACTCATTGTCTTCTGCAAAATATTTTATAAACATCTTAAGATACAAATATACTTGTCATAATTTGATAACATTGAATTAACACCATTTTTTATGTATTCAATTACATGTACTATGATTTGAATGTTTGTATATTATGATTGAAAAATAAAAGAGAAAAACAAGAACGTACCGTTGTCACGTTTCAGTGATTAATCAAAGCATAACAAATCAAAACACTTTAATTTATATGAAAATTTCACTTTTAAACTAAGATTGTTGTTTAACGAAAAAATTTATACAATCAAATAAGTTATCCCTATCAAATTTTGAGAAATATACTATGAATGACAAGCTATTTGTTTGCCTATGCATTCGGCTTTTCACACAACAAGAGCGTTAATAGATCTAGCTCTCCGTAATGAATAATTTGGAATCGATTCTCAAATGGTGATTGTTATCACTGTAATCATGTTATCAATACAAGAAAACTCTTTTTAAACGAAAATTGAGAAACTGCAAAATATATTTGGAAGGCTGCTTTCCCATAACTGGTCAATTCATTTAGGTCCTTTGTTTAAAAAAAACTGCTAGTTGTTAATGACACTTTATATTCATACCGTGTTTGTCAGAAGTGTATAGGGTTTTAACATTTATATTCAAAAGATCTTTAATTTATATTAAATAAAAAACTGTATAGAAAAAAAAATATCAATATTTTTTCCAAATATCAAATTTGGGCATGATAATTATATTTCTAAGTAAAAGTATTGGGGTTGCACTAATTTCAACCACTTATACCAACAAACTTTGGAAGCGAGGTCACGTGGTACACGGATGTTATTTATAGATTTATAATAGTGTGAGTAATGAAGATTTTTGGAAGGATATATGGTTCTTTATTATAGTAACTATGGTTCGATGTAATGGTAATATATAGTATATGATACGAATTAGTTACGAGGTTATACCCCGTAACTAACGATTTCTTTACTAGTATATCATAACTGTTTTATCGCAATTTCATAAAAATACTATTTTCAGTATTATTCCCTCTCTTGTGTCCTTTCTCTTTCGATTCAAATGTAAACCGAAGAAAAAGGTAGCAATACCAGCTAATTAATCTTGACTTTTAAAAAAAAAAAAAAAAAAAAAAACTTGGATTGCGTGATTCCCCCACCCATTCCAACCTCTGTAAAAATCTACACTGATATATACACGTTGCAAAATAAACTTAACTGTTATATAAGTTGAGTTTATTTCCTATATGAATCAATAAAAATCTACTGCACTGTTATATAATAATACATTTAAAAGTGTACTGAACGTAATGGGTTGGAAAGAACAAAAAAAAACTTTCCAAACCATGCGATAACGAGTGATATTATAACTCATTTGCATACGCTCTTCTACGGCAAAAAGTCAAAGTGAGTCAATGGAAGAAGACGTGTTTTTTATCGCTTGTTTTTCATCGACAGTTTTTCAATAAATACAACGGATTTAAAGCAGAAAAACACACGTATATTTAGTGATATTATACGTCACTTGCACACGCCCTTCTATATTTAATATGACGTCATCCAGTCATTGAATGCAAAATGCAAGTTTACGGACATGTTGATCAGACCTCGGAAAGTATATTTTGCATGAAAGCCATGTTTTATTTGTTACTTTATACCGAACCTAAATCCTTTCATCACTTTTGTTGCTGTCACTTTTATTATTATTTGCTTTCAACTGATAATTGTATTTGTTCAGTGTAAGAAATATTTGAAAGCCTAGTCGGATTTTCTTTATATTTTTAAGCGATGCAACACATAATCATGCTTCCATTTATTTGTGTTTTCTTGAAATTCGCAAGTCGTGAAAGTCGCGTTTAAACAGTCTGTATAATGATTATGGACTGGGTAGCCGGTCTGTATGTGATTTATTGACTGGATGACATCATATTAAATATAGAAGGGCGTAAGCAAATGAGGTATAAAAGTGTCCCTGTGAATCACATGTGGCAGTATCAGAGTTTGAACACCCCACCCCACCCTGCCCCTTTTCCCCTCCTCCAACCCTGAAAAAATAATTTAGCACTCTAAGGCTTACTATAAGATACAAAATCCAAAACCACCGATAGATTTTCTAAAAAATCCACTATCAAAATTAAAGTTATAAATATAATTTTGACCGTGGATTTTTTTAAAAATTGTATCGGTGGTTTTGTATTTGGTATTTTATACTTTACATTTTATAAAAGATCCCCTCATATATGTTTTATAAGAACTACAGTGCTTATGCATCTAAATGACCTCCTGGTCATCTAAGGTGACCACTCATATATATTCCATAACAACTAATGTATATGTACATCTTGATGATCCCCTGCTATTTTTACATTATCCCCTCATACATCTTCTATAATAAAAAAAACTAGAGTTTATGTTCAATAAGACGATTTCTTGGTCCTCATATCTACGTATATCTTTCATATGAACAAAAGTATACATTGTACGTACATTTAGATGATCCTTTAGTTATCTTACATGATATCCTCACATAGGTTCATATGGTGGTTAAATTGTAAGGAATATGAAAAACCATTATTATACGAGTGTATGTCCTGAAGACTTTAAAAGCTATTTCCAATTTTTAGACATACGTGTACATTTATAATGAGGATTAAGCATATGCACTACTTACCAGTGACATTTACAGTGAGACTGATCATTTCCACTACACTATAGTCTTGTTTAATCAAGACATAAAAAACACGCTTTTAATCAAATATCGTCTCCCTCATTTAAATATAATTAAAATAACAAAAAATATATTCAGTTTTTAAACTTTCAAACAAAACGTCCTATCATTATCACATTTAATATATTTTAAGATATCATAAAACTTACTTTTATTATTCAGCAATTCACCTTGTCTCCTTCCTTATACCTTTTGCGACGCAGTTAGTGATTAAAAATAAAAACAAGACTTGCACGATGTTTTGCCAACCAATCCTATAAAAAATCAATACATAATTATGTTTAAAAATATACTTTATTCATTTAATAGACGGTTGAAAAATACTTCTTTATCTATATTAACAAAAGAGTGAATGGGTATTGTATATTGATCGAGATTATACTTTTAAGGTATGTTTTTAACATTTCTAAAAAGTTTAGTCTACCCATTGAACATACACCTTTTTGTGTAAATATTGAATAATGATCGAGTTTTTAACAGTTATACCCATTTAACATTTACTACATACACAACTCAAAATTTGATAGGAATCACTTGTTTGTTTCTATATATTTGTATGGGTGTATAGCAGTTAAAGTGATATTTTGATAATTGTGACATCGAAGTGTATAAATTTGTTGTTTTTGTTTTGTTCTGATTAATCAATGAAGAGTAACAATGGTGTACTATTATGTTTTTGTGCATAGGCGATACAAATAAATGAATTTACGGCATGAAAATATCTCCTCGTCCTACTTATAAGCCCGCGTATGGCGTATTGTGGGATTTAAACCCATTCCTGTAAGAGGGTCTATTTAGGGATCCTGGATGGTGGTTGGCTTAACAAAGCGAGCTGAAATGTGAAGAATGTACCAGACATGTTCAATTGGGTTTAGGTCTTAATATCTTGCAGGCCAGTCCATCTTGAAAATCGTTTCATTTTTTTTTTCAAGATATTCATTTGTTACTCTGGCTCTGTGAGGTCTAGCATTGTCGTCCATTTAAACGAAATTGGGGCCAACTGCACCAGCAATACAAGAATACAATTATACATCCAATACCTCATAGACGTATAGTGGAGTCGTCAGTGTGCCGTTGTCGACGATGTGCAGATCTTTATGCCCCTGCATGCTGACCCCGAACCATAACCGAACCCCTACCATACTGATCATGATACACAATGCATACTAATGCAAACTGTTCGTTTTGTCATTCTCCGCATCCGGGCACGCCTGTCTGTAAAGTCAATACAGAACCTTGTCATATCAGTAAATGCACTGGAATCCACTCGTTTAAAATCAATGTTATGTGAAATCTGGCCCATTGTTCACGTGTCTTGCAGTTCGCCTAGCCCTCATGCCAACATTCCGAATGGTTTGAGTCGAAGCCCGAAGACATGTTGCCTTCTGGAGCTCATTTTTGAAGGTTTTGGCGTTCATCAAGCGGTGGCGTTGTGCACAATAAAATGGTCGTCTGCATTCGTCGAAGCTCTCTGGCATTCCTAAGAGAGAGAATTCAGCTCGGCTTGTTAAGTCAACCACCACCCAGGAGTTTACAGGATCCTCTATGAGTATTGGGTTCGAATATACAAAAACCATGTGCGGGCTAATCAGTAGCATCAGGAGACGTTGTTAGGCCGTAATCAACGCAAATGGGCAACGCACTCGTTTTTGACAACATCTTTACACTTTTGACTAACTTTAAAATTAATTCACCTTGTATCACCTATGCACAAAAATCTTAAAATCTACCCTTATCAAGAACTTCACTTTCAAATTGGCGACCTATAAGTCTTTTAAATATTGATTATAAAATTGCTACAAAAGCAATTACTATTCGAATAAAGAAGGTATTAGAAAAAATAATTAGTCATGGGCGAAAGGACGCTAAATAGGAGAAAATATACGACTAATATTTGAAATAATAGAACTTATTGAAAAAAATAACAAGTCTGGTCTTCTATTCTTCTCTGATTATCAAAAAGCATTTGATAGCTTAAATCATATTTTTATTGTTCAATGTCTTCACTATTTTCAGTTTGATGAATCTCTTATTTCATGGGTTAAACTCTTCTATAACAAAATTAATAGTGTAATTATAAATAATGGTCACATCAGGGAGTAAGACAAGGATGTCCCCTTTCTCCTTCCTTATTCATCATTTGTATTCAACTTTTAACAAAACAGGATTGCAAAAGACAATGACATTCAGGGATTTATAATAAATAATAAAGAAATCAAACAGACATTATTTGCTGATGATACAACATATATAAATAGTGGACAAAAATATTTTTTTGAAAAACACATTAAAGTCATTAATGAATTTGGAAACATATCTGGTCTCAACCTAAATACATCAAAATCAGTTGTATTGAAGGTTGGAGCCCTCAAAACAATGAATTTAAAATATGCAGAAAATATGAATTTCACTTGGACATCAAAACATGCGAAAACACTTTGCATGACTTTCTACACAGACTCCAAAATGAATATGCTTAACTTAGAACCTAAACTAAAAGAATTTAAAACATGCTTAAAACAGTGGAAACACCGTAAACTAATATTGATGGAAAAAGTCACAGTAATTAAGACATTTGCATTACCAAAACTAATTTATCCATTTACAGTTCTTGAAAACCAACCTGACCATACTATTAAAGATATAACAACAGCAATTTTTAACTTCTTATGGGATAGTTAAACAGATAAAATTAAGCGTAAAACTATTATAAACAACTATGATGTAGGAGGATTAAAATTAACAGATATAAAATGATTTTTAACTTCAATTAAATGTTGCTGGGTAAAGAGATTGATTTCAAATGAAAGCAATGGACATTTGAAAGTCTTTTTGAGAATATATTAAAATCTTTAGGTGGTAAATTTATTTTTTAATGTAATCTTAGTTCTCATGATGTTTCAAGAATCTGTAAAACAAATATATTCCTAAGAGATATCTTAATTTCATGGTTTTCTGTAGTAAACACCTCTTATATAAATAGAAATGAAATAAAAAAAAACATATCATATGGAACAATACTGAGATAAAATTTTAACAAATACAATTTACTGGAAACAAGATATCTTTGTAAAACATGTATGCTCTCAATCACCAGCCATTTAATCATTTGACCAGGTTATTATGCAGGACTTCTGACCCAGTGAACAAAGAATTAATAAGGTTTATCTACTGGTCATGACTAGTCACAAGGTAATAATTATTGTGACCCCATAGGTTGTGTGCAGCAATTTAAGTTATTTATATTACAAATCTTATCAAATAATATATGCATAAATTTTATGAATCATGTAGCCCTCATTAATGACAGCGCATTTGTTATATAACATAAGACCTTCTAATGTGTATACCAAAAGCATTTTCAATTTAATACAAAAAAATCAACCAAGGCAACTTGGGTTGTAGAGTTATTGGTCAGAAACCATCTTTAAGTACAAGGTCAATATGACACTGACCCCGTAACCCCAAAATCAACTTGGGTTATCTACTGGTCATGACCAATAATCATATAAAGTTTGAAGTTCCTAGGCCTTAGCCTTCCTTATTTACTGTGCGGAAACTGTTTTACTGACCTTTGGCCCCTTGACCCCAAAATCAATAGGGTACATCTGCTTGTCATGAACAATCATCATACCAAATTTGAAGTTCCTAGGCCTAAGCGTCCTTTAGGTATTGAGTGGAAACCGTTTTTAACTTCAAGTCAATTTGACCTTTGACCCATTGACCCCAAAAATCAATACGGTTTATCTGCTGGTCATGAACAATCATCATACCAAGTTTGAAGTTCCTAGGCCTAAGCCTTCTTTAGTTATTGATCGGAAACCGTTTTAACCTACAAGGTCAATGTGACCGTGACCTTTGACCCCTTGACCCTAAAATCTATAGGGGTCATCTGCTGGTCATGACCAATCATCATACCAAGATTGAAATTCCTAGGCCTAAGCCTTCTCAAGTTATTGATCGGAAACCGTTTTTACTTACAAGGTCAATGTGACCTTGACCTTTGACCCCTTGAACCCAAAATCAATAGGGGTCATCTAATGGTCATGACCAATCACCATACCAAATTTGAAGTCCCTAGGCCTAAGGGTTCTTTAGTTATCATTCGGAAACCATTTGTTCTAAGGACAGACGGACCGACAGACAGACAAATGCAAAGCAATATACCCCCTCTTCTTTGAAGTGGGGGCATAAAAATGGCATGAAAAAGGAATAAATTATATAGACCAACTCTTTGATTTTCGTACAAAAGCCTTTTATAAATTTGAAATAGCAAAACAAATTCTAAGTCTTGATACACAAGATTATTTAAAATATCATCAATTTATCTCAGCTATCCCAAAGAGCCTTAGAGAAAACATTTCAATGCATTTTCTCTATGGGAATAAAGAAGATGTTCTAATAGAAAAAATAAAAAAAACAAAGTCACCAAATCAGCTGTTGTATAAACTTCAAATGAATGCAATAACTGTTGAAAAACCAACTACATCCATAAAATGGGAAAACATATTTAATGACAATGAAATAGATTTGAAACCATTTTAATATACCTTTTAAGTCTACAATCGACACCAATCTTCGTAGTTTTCAATACAAATTTTTAAATTAATGCGTTTAGTCCCAACAAATAAATATCTTTTTAAATGCAAATTATCATCTAGCAATTTGTGAGATTTTTGTTCTATGTTAGAATCTATTGAACATTTAATATGGGAATGTCAATTAACACAAGTTTTCTGGAACAAAATTCAAACATTTTTATTCTCTACAGTTTATGAATACCTCTAAACTTAAGACAGGTGTGTTTCGGTATATTAGGTAAACATAACACAGTAAATTTTATCATAATTCTGTGTAAATACTTCATATTTAAAATGAAATATAGCAAAAATATACCCACTTTTGAAAAATTTATGCCATTTCTCTCTTACAGGATTAGAATTGAAAAAGAAATATAATTAATACAAGACAATCTACAAAATTTTGAAGAAAAATGGTCAAATTTCAATGAAACTTAATTTTTACAGACCCCGAAACCACACAATATAGGCGTATAAGTATGCATATACAAATAGAAAAGGAAATGATCTTCAATTCTTATCTCCGTTTAGTTCATTCCTTATATTTTCTCCATTTTTTTATAATATATATTTTTTACTAAGTATTAGCTTTGTCAAATATCATTATGAATGTATTTTTTTTTTCAACTATCTTTTAATAGGGACATAACTTATCTTTATCTTTTCTCTCTTTTTTCTTCTC